AGATTTAGATAAATAAGTCTCACACTAATTCTAATTCTCTATACAACTCTAAATAAACTCATCTCTTTCTATGCAGCTGTCCTAAAGAAAATAACATTTTTGTTACAAAATCACACATTAGAACTTAAAAGATAATGTCTACATAAGAAGGTAAGGCATTTAAAAATTTCAAATTCAAATAAAGTCTAGGTGATTGGCCTAAACCATCTTCATATTCCTATATCTAAAAAGAAAAGACAATCAACATCATATAAATCAACAAGTACCTATTTCTATTAATAATGGATTCAGAAAAAAACAAGCTTTGAAATATTATCCATAGAGTGGCAAAAGCAACAATAAAGAGCCAAGTGTAGGGCTTCCAAGTGAGGTCTCAATGCACACAAAGTTGACACGTGGGACAAACTGGTGAAAAGAAGAAGTTGGTTAAAGAGCAGAATAGGCTGGTTAGTGCTACTAATGGGCAAAGCTGCCAACCATAGAAAAGTGTAAGCCACCCAGAAGCCAGAGCTAGCAGGGTCCCACCAAGGGACCACAGCACACAGAGAAGTAAATCTTACGGCAAAGACCTCAGCCTGAAGACCAGCTGCTCTCTTTTTCAGCTCCTCCCCTTGAGCCTCTTTCGAACTTAGTTCCTCCTTCAGTTGCTCTACCTGTCACGACATTGTTATTCTTTTTTCACTCTTGTCAATTTAGTTCTTTTTATCTGCTTTTGACCTCAAGAGGCCATGGGAAATAACAACAAATATAGCACAATCAAATCTATTCTCCTAGACCCTCCCCCCTTTTATGGAGACAGGGTCTTGCTTTGTAATTCAGGCTGACCTTGAACTCACTATGTAGCCCAGGCTAGCCTCCAACTCTTAGCAATGCTCCTGCCTCAGCTTCTCAGTGCTGGGATTATTGGTGTGCCTCAAATGAGCAATTTTCTTTTAAATAAAAACTTGCAATAATGATGCAATACCAGCAACTCTGTTTTTAATTCTGACTTTAACTTCATTTCAAAAAATGCCCTGTCCTTGCAAGCGCAAGGACCCGGTTCGATCGATCCCCAGTGACCAAAAAAAAAAAAAAAAAAAAGTGCCCTGAAGTCTGATAAAAAGTGAAACAGATCTTTTAGCATCGTTAAAGAGGTAGAAATAGTACCAAATTTTCAATTCTTTCCTGAGAACTAAAATATCACACATCATTACCTTATTTTTCATAAATTTAGAATGGCTCCGATACACCTCCATTTGCTTCATTTCTTCCTCCCGCTCTTCTGTACTCAAAGCCCCATTTGATTTCAGCATCTGAATTTCTTCTTCCAGGTCTCGGAGCCCACGCTCCATTGAGGAAATTTTTGAATCCTAAAGACAAAAAAAGAGTTAAGTGTTAAAGTAGTCATAAAAATGCAAAGAAGCTGACCTAATCAGGTCTTTTAAAATGTCAAAATTAATTTTAAAAAATAAATATACAGAAAACTGCTGCCTGGCATTTGAACATATTGTTTATAGACACCTAGAAGGGAAGAGGAGAGCTCTCATATCCACAATATAACTTTTCTTCTGTCTTTCCAGTTCTGTACCCTTTCAATTAAAGATGGGTTAATTAACAAAAGAAACAGAAGCATTGAAAAAAATTATTAAAATTTCACTATAATTTACAGTCAACAAATTTCTGGTAAAAGTTATAATACCAATAAGCCTTCTTTAGTTCTAATATTTTACTTATGACCCCTAGAGGATCTATTCCAATCCCAAAGAAGGAGAAAAGAACAGAGATTTTTAAAACTTTATACAATATTTATGATCATATATACAATTAAAAACTTTATAAACTTCACTGCAGAAAAACAAAGAATGAATAATTACATTAACAGTTCCTTGTTATAATATTAGAAATCTTATTCTCTACATTTCTCCACACATTTGAAGTATTTCACAATTTTGAAAACATCACCAGATATGGTGGCAAATGCCTGCTGACCTAGTAGTCTAAAGGCTGAAACAGGAGGATCCCTGAGTCCAGGAGTTCAGACCAGGCTGGTCAACATAGCAAAACCTCTGGAATACACACACACACACACACACACACACACACACACATGCACACACACTTTTCTTGTAAATCAACATCATTACCACAAATCTAACCTTCTGTAGTACATCCTTCTGGATTTAAGTTTTGGTTTGGTTTGGTTTTTGGTACCAGGAATCAAACTCACAACCTTGTGCTTGCAAGGCAGTTGTGGAGCCACTGAGCTAAATCCCCAACCCCTCAAGGTCTTGATTTTGTTTGTAACATTTATTTACCCCTAGATTACTTTCGATATTAACAATAACAGGAAAACTGATGAAGAGTTTTATATCTGTAGTTTACATGCTTATTCACTTAAGCAAGAGACTTTAAAGACTAAATTAGGTATAGCTTTATTTTACTAGGAATTTTTTAGAAAAATCCTGTAGTTAACAATTTTGAGATTGACTTCCATTTCCATTTTACCTCAAAAATTTCTTGGTTGACTTTACTTGCTCACGTAACTCAAAATACAAACAGTTTAAGGACCTATCATAACACAACTAGCTATTTTCAGGTCTGGGGACAGGAGAAGGGAGGATGTACTTCTTTCTCATTCATCATGATACCTTTAAAAATAACAAAGAAATAACCAAAGCATGGTGGCACAAACCTGTAAATGTCAGCACATTGGGAGGCTTGGAGGGGAAGACTGAGAGTTCAAGTCATGCCTGGGCAACTTAGTGACTCAGGAAGATCCCAGCTCAAAACAAGGGAAGGGGAGTGTAGCTCAGTAAGAAGGCTCTGGTCTCAACCCCCAATACCATTTTTTAATCACAGAAAATATTAATTAATAATTAAATAATTGTACAAATTTATTCAAATTAAACTTCTGTTAAAGAGACAACCTACAAACATGGGAAAACATTGTTACCAACTGTTCCTCAGACAAAGGTCTACTATCTAGAATATATAAAGAACTAAAAAAAGGAGACCCCCCCAAATATAAAGATCCAATTAAAAAATGGTCATCTGAAATGAACAGACACTTCTCAAAGAAGTAAAAGCAGCAAATAAACATATGAAAAAATGTTCAACATCACTGGGCATTTGAGAGATGCTGATGAAAACAACACTGAGATTCCACCTCACCCCAGAAAGAATGGCTGCTATCAAGAAATCAACCAGTAACAAATGCTGGGGGGTCGTGGGGAGAAAGGAACCCTTCTCCATTGTTGGTGTGAGTGCAGGCTGGTGCAACCACTCTTGAAATTAATATGGAGATATTTCAAACAACTAGGATTAGAAGTCTCATGGGACCCAGGTATTCCTCTGCTAAGTATCTTCCGAAAAGAATTTAAAAAATCATACCACAGTGATATATGTGCACCCATGTTTATAGTGGCACAGTTTGTAATAGCTAAAATATGGAAGTGGTTCAATTGCCCATCAACCGGAGACTGTGTAAAGAAGATGTGGGTTATTTTACATACTATATATAATATTAGACTACTCAGCCATAAAGAACAAGAAACTAGAAACTTTATACCTAAGTGGGTGCACATTGAGGCCATATTCTTAAGTGAAATAAATAGGACTCACATGTGTAAATACCAAATAGTTTCTCCAATGTGGAAAAACTAAAAGTGTAAATAAGGATCAAAACGGGTAATTGATACTGTGAAATACAAAGAAAATGTCAACAGGAGTAGGGGAAAGGAAAGAAGGGGAAAAATATGAGAAGTGGAAAAACATTGAAACAAATAAGGAAGGGTAGGTAGAGGGGGTGAAGGAAGGGCAATGGAACGGTAAAAAATAAGAACCAAGATACATCATGTAAAGGTACAAGTTCCTAATGATGAATGTAACTGTATTGTATACCTAAAATCTACCAATAAACTTAATGAAAAAAAATTAAACTTCTACTTTGTTCAAAATTATATGTATTGAGGGCTGGAGATTTAGCTCAATGGTTCTGGCGTCTGCTTTGCAAGCTCAAGGGCCTAAGTTCAATCCCCATTACCAAAAAAAAATTTAAATGTATTGACTTAATATGGCAATATATAAACCAGGATTTTGATTTACTCATTTAAAATCAGTCACCCTCTCATATCATTTCCTAACCCTTACAAGAACCACTTAAATTTCACACTATCTGAAACTCGCTTTTAAGATTATTATAAATTGGGCCACGGATTTAGCTCAGTGGTGCCACTGCCTGCCTCACAAGCCTAAGGATATGAATTTGTCCCGAGTACCCCCCAAAAAATATTTACTATAAATTATTCTTTAAGTATTGGGAGATATGTAAGAATTATATGCATATAACAATCTTTATAACATTCCAGTGCCTAAAACACAAGGCATATGCCTATGTCTAAAAGAAAGTAAAATACGGGTTCTTCCCTTTCCGTAGCCAGCGGTAATGAAAAGGGAGCAGCTAAAATAGAAAAGTGTATTTCTAGCACAATTGGGATTCTATATGAAACACAGCACCCAGGAAAGAACTACAGCTCTGCACAACACATGGAGGACTCTATAAAAAACTGTATAAAGAAGACTCTACAAGGCCCTTGTCAAAAACAACCTTCCATTTTCTCTTCATCCCCAACACTGAGGAAGAAGCAGCTCTTGACCAAATCCGCACTTTAACTACCAGTCATGTATCATAAAGGCTTCTCCCCAAAAGTGCAACTCTGAAAACCTTGCACTAGTACCCAGAATCAGAATCTTTCATGTTACTCTCTGAAACAAGGTAAAATCAAGCCTAGTACTTTCACCTGGTTGTAGTACCAAATCAACTGGCACCAAGCCTGAATTTACTTGATGGTTATTCCAACCAGTTTTCTCATTCCTACAAGGTATAATAAATATAAAGAAGTTCCCATTTGTCAGGCATGGTGGCATACACCCAACATTTAGTAGGCTGAGACAGGAGTATCACAAGTTTGAGGCCAGCCTGGGGTACACAGCAAGACCCTATCTAAAAAGGAACACAGAAACACAAGAACACACACACACACACACACACACACACAACCATTTTGTAATCACAGCAAAATTATCTTTTACAAATTTATTCAAATTAAATTTCTACACTGTTCCAAATTAAATGTTTTGAATTAATACAGAGATATAAATCAGGATTCTGATTTACTAATTTAAATTCAACTGCACAGAGGCCGGGTATGTAGGTCAGCTGTATAGCACCTGCCGCGCAAGCAAAAGCCTGGAGTTCAATACCTGGTCCAAAAATAAAATTAATCCACAAGCAAGTTCCTTTTTGCTTTACTTCTCTCTACTTCCTTACCCCTTGATCTTCAATCACTGATAAACCAATTCTACTGGGCCTACAGAATGTCTCCACTCTTTGCTAACTATTTAATAGTTTATCCCAAGCATCACTCCAGCAACGTGTTTGTTTACATACTGACTATCCCAAACATCACTCAGGCAGGTGTCATTTCTACCAGTCAATTCTTGTTTACATGAGATACACTCATATGTCTGTTTTATTTAACTATTTTTGCATACTTCTTAATTTAGAATATTGTGTTCACCTTCAATGTTTGTTTCTAGTGAAGTCTTTTTTGGGGGGAAGGTAGCAGGGATCAAACTCAGAACCTTACACTAGTAAGGCAGGCACAGTGCCACTGAGCTAAATCCCTGGCCCTTCTAGTAAAATCTAATAGCAAGTTCTGGTTAACTTCTTTTACAATTCATGGTATTTGTGAAAAATAATCTATAATTTTGTGCTGCTATCTATAAAAGCTTGGGGGGGGGTACCAGGGATTGAACTCAGGACCTTGAGCTTGTGAGCCAGGCAGCAGCACCACTGAACTAAATCCCTGGCCCTAAATAAATTTTTTATATTTCTCCAGAACTCAGTGATATACTTCTGCAATACAAAATGGACGTATTTGGGACACTGATACTGAATAGGAAGTGAGTGCCAAAATATCTTCAAAAGAAAAAACTGAAAATGGGCAAATGTTAGCATATCAGAGAAGGTCTGTATTATGAAATGGAAAGACAAAAAAGATGTCAACTATTCATAACACAGAAATGATAGAATTTGAAAGAAGAAATAACACTAAAAAATTCAACAGTGGTCAATGATTATAATAATTCTATGGGCGGTATTGGCAGAGTTAACCAACATCTAACAAACAGTCCTGTAACCAAAAAACTAGGAAAAAGTCTTATTATATTTATTTATGCTCCTTCTGACCCAAACAATATGAAACTCATTTTTTATTTATTCAGAACAAGGGGGTTTAAAAGGTCATCATTTACAATTTAGATTAGATTTAATAGACCAAATAATTGAAAAATATAGAATAGCAAAATGCCAATCAGGACATCCATCATCAACATCTTCACTATCATGTTTAGTGGGTAGACATTTTATTGAAATTATACCACCCACAAAAATGAGGGGGGGGGGAGAGAGAGAGAAGCCAACACTCTGTAAAAGTGTGTTATTTGGGCCAGAGATGTAGCTCAGTGGTGCCACACCTGCCTGCCAAGAGAAAGGTCCTGAGTTCCATCCCTGGTACTGAAAGGAAAAAAAAAAAAAGTAAAGTGTGTTGTTCAAAGCAAGACAATGATGGGAAAAAAATTCAGAAAGAGACTAGATACAACTATCCAGATTATAATGTTTCATTGTGTATTGAATGCTTTAAAATGTACCATACACAGAAATACTACTGAATAAATTTGATTAAATTCTTGTTTTTATATTTCCTGTTATCTTATTAAAATTAGTGAAAAAAAATACACAATTTTTGATCATCCTATATATAAGTAATTGGACTGGTTAAGTGGTTAAATTCCCCAAGATATAAAAATTCAAAAGTTTTCTCCCTACCCCACAAAAAAGCTGGTTTTTCATATAATTTCTCTGAAATCTCTCTAGTAACCCTCGAACCACAAAAGACCAAGAAATAAAGTTGGTGTTCTTTTGATTCCTCAATACTATTGCCTTTCGGTAAAGCTCATGTCCTTTTCACTCTTCATTCTGCCATTGAGGGAGTTCTCAACATTCCTACCATCTTATGAAGTATGGTACTCTTTCATAATTTTTCATGTCACACAACTTATTAAGTGTAGCTAGATTTTCCATCCAAGTAGTTTAACTATGAAAGCAAGTTCTTACTTATACCATCCATGTTAAAGATTTCTACCTGTTCACTAACTTAAAGCTGAGTTTTCAAAAAAACCATTTCTAGAACCCTGAATGTCCTTTAGATCCTTTCACAAAGTCAAAACTATTTCCACAGTAGTACTAGGCTATCATTTGACTTTTCCACTGTGTCAACATTTGCTCTAAAAGTATAAAAGCAATAATTGGCAAAACTGTTAATGTCTTACCACAAATCAAGGGAATGTTACAAATTCATGCTAAAAGATATGATATTCTTCAGTGCCAGGGACTCACAGTAAGAAAAAAAATTTTAAAGAATGTTCTTGATAAAGCAGTAAATCTCAAATACACACCTTTTTAATATTCTGTGTGACATGATGGAAAGCAATATGAAACACTTTCACTGTACACTGAGGTATCATGGATGTCCCTAACAATGGTACTTGTATGTTGCCTTGAGTTGCAAGCACAACTGGGTGATCTTCATGAAACACAATTTTTACTTAAAAGAACAACGGGAAAAATATGGTTACTGAGACTTTTTATTTGGCAGATATCTTCTTAAAATAAAGGAAGTAAGCCTGTCAATTTTAGAAAGTTACAATATCCTGAGATCAAGAAACTGAAGAATAACTGATTTAACAACATTCTAGAGAGCTCTTTTTTGGTCTGATTTGAATCATGACCTACAATTGAAAGGAAAGGAAATTTAAATTCCTTTAAGGTGTTATTTTTGCTAAGTCAGGATTTCCTTTCAAACTTCCATGGGTGAAGTATTATTACCAACTATTTTATAAAAATCACATATAAAAACACATTTTGATTTATAAGTGAAAATTAACTCATGAGATTCTTTATTAGATTTTCACTTACCTTCATCTCAATAACAGTTTGCAGAGCCTTTGTTTTGGCAGAGTCAGGGGCATTCTCAAACCTCCGGTGCATCTCCTAGAGAAGATAAGAAAAAGACAGTCAGTGGCCAAAGAGAATTACTTCAATATTATGAGTATCTGACCCCTTTCTATGTGACCAACTCTTCCCTGTGGATCAGAAAATCCAGACTGCTTTTAGGGTTACTTCAACCATGCAGGCAGGAGGGTCCTTGAATCTGAACACAGAGTTATTCAAAATTACTCACACCAGGGCTGGGGCTTTACCTCAGTGGCATTATGCCTGCCTAAGTCCTGAGTTCAGTTCCAGTACCAAAAAACAAACTAACAAAAAATTATTCATATCAACACAAGCTACTACAACAGCTATAACTCCCAACATATTACCAGGCTCATGTGGCACTCTTTCACACAATTCCAAGACCTATTCTCAAAACTCCAAACAATCAAAAAATGAAATTAGAAGCGGTTCCTTTTTTTTTTTTTTTGGTACCAGGGATCGAACTTGGGTCCTTGCGCTTGCAAGGCAGGAGGCAGCACCACTGAGCTAAATCCCTGACCCGAGTTTCCTTTTTAAAAGGAGACATAAAAGACATCACAACAAGTCTACAGTGCACAAAGCTATTGAAAGCATCCATGTAGACAACATCCCTTCCATAGTATCCACCCCAAGAATAACAAGCAGTTGGTTTCCTGTGATGAAAATCTCTCTCTCATGTTACTACAGATAGACAAAGATAAGAACACTATTGTTTCCTAAGTAGTTCAGGTTTAGAAAATGTCAGAAAAACTGTTTTTTAAACCCAAATTTTAATGAGTTCAGGACAGGAAGGAAGGATGTTAGGGTCTTCAAGGGTTACTCTGAAATTGCCAGACCACTTCAGGTAATTCTCTGGTCAGATTCTTCGAATGTCTCTGAGTTAGTCAGTACTTTCAAAGTACCCTGGGACTGTCCCCAAGGAATCCTGAGATGACTAGTCCATCTGAAATAAATCTTAAGCATAATAAAAGGAGATGGATAATATAATACTTTAGTGTACTTTCACTTTACTTATTCTTGATTGACAAGAAAAATGGTTTGTGAAAAAACAAGAAATGTAACTGCAACTTCACTGAGTTATTTTTGCTTAAAAGAGTAATCTTAATAAAGTGACAGAAGTTCTAAATTATCAAGTCAACAGTTTAAGCAGCAGTAATTTATGAACATCTACATACTCTATCTGACTGCTGAGCTGTAGCATAAACCTATATGTTTGAATACCTCTACTCTAAAAAGCATAAACCCAAAAATTTTGGAGTGCCAGTACAATGCTCAGGCTTCAGACTTTGGAGCAGTTCTACTTTCAGATTTTCATAAGAGAGATGACCAAATATTAAAGCCTATGCAAATATTCCAAATCTGAGAAACTCCAAAATCTGAAAAACTTCTCCTTCCAGGAAAGTCAGTTAAGAGATAATCAACCTGATAATCAACCCGTATTAATTATACAGCCTTTCTGCTACTTCTTTCCCTAGTACCAGCCTTCAATATGAAAGTAGGTATAAGTAGGTATCCCAACCATATATTTAAAAAAGATTAAACTCCTGATGGTCTTCTCAACTCTGCTCCATGCTTACAGTTATTCAAGGAAAACAACTATGAGGAAGGACAGGGGATTTAGCTCAGCAGTTCGGTGGTCTGCTTTGCAAGTGCAAGGACCCGAGTTCAATCCCAGGTACCAAAAAAAAAAAAAAAAAAAAAATGAGTTTTCTACATGTTTTACATTCTCCCTCAAGCCACACTTAGGAGACATAGTTAACTCTATCTTCAAAACCCAAAGATTTCCTGTCATTTTTACTGCTGCCATCTGGCATGAATCACTAAAAAACAATAAACAAAAGCATATTTTTCAATAATAACAACCCTTTTCAGCTCCCTCCCCCTCCACACTGTATTTTCAACAGAACAATTTTTAAATACAAATTTGATTTTGTCACTTCTTCACTCAGAACCCTGACATGGTTCCCCATGAAACCAAGGTACAATTGAAGTCTTCCTGGGAGGCTACAAGACCTCACATCTTTTCACCCTGCACACAATCACTTCAGCTCTGTGCAGCTTAAATACTCTGGTCATGCTTCAGTCCTACAAGACCTTTGCACAGGCTCCTTGTACAGTCTCTCCCTTTCTGCTATGGAAAGACTTTACCTCCTTCTAATCTTGGCTCCAATGTCTCTTCTGTCTTACTAGGTTTATTGGTTGTGATGATGCCACTGTGGTTAAGTACGAAAATATTCATATGATTTACTCATGCACACTAAAGTCTAAGAGTAAAAGGACTTCCTATCAGAAATTTGTTTTAAAAGCACTGGTGAAAAAAAGCAAGAAAGGGGGGACACATGAAAGAAGTGTGGAAAATTCCTGGTAATTGGTACATCTGAATGATAAGTATATGGAGTGACTGCTATACTGTTTATTACTTTTGTGTAAGTTTGAAATTTTTCATTAATAAATGTTCAATTTTTTCAGTGGAATCTACTGTATTTTAAATTTTAACACTGACAAAAAGGAGCACACTTCCTTTCCACTTTATTTTGCTTTACTTTTTTCCCATAGCACTTGTCCTCTAATGTATTATACAATTTATTATATACACTACTTTCAGTTTCACTCTATATTACTGTAAGCTTCACAATGACCAGGTTTTGTTTGTTTCACTCATTCACTGCTAGCTCCAAAGGACCTGTAATAATAGCCAGCACAAATGGTACCTGCCTAATAGATACTTGAGGAATGAATATTGAATAAATAATGAATGGCTACCAAACTTTAAAGAATTAGTTGCACAGGGTATCTTTAACTCATACTGACTCCTGCAGTGAATTATATGTACCTCCTCTCTCTTTTCACACAGCATGCTATACCACTCTTCTTTGACACTTACCACATTATATTTTAAATAACTTTCTTCTCTAACATATCAGACTATGAACTTTATAGGAAAAGAAATACACTGCATATTCCTCAGATACTGCCTGATATTATGCAACCATCAAAAAGGAACGGATATGGGAGCCATGCCTTCTCCCCCCACAGCTGCCATCTCTTGAGTGCTGGGAAAGTAGTCTGGGCCCCGATCCACCGCGGGAAGGAGAGCCACGCCTTCTCCCACCCCAGCTGCCATCACTTGAGTGCGGGGAAAGTAGCAGCATGGTTGCCCCTGAACCCAACCCCCCTCCCACACTCTCAGACCTCCTAACTGTGCCAGTCTTTGGATCCACTCTGCAGAGGCAGAGGTGGTCATCAAGGGTATTTTTCTGAGTTCCCAACTTTGAACATCTTTAAAGAAAGGGCATGGGAAACCTGTAATAGAACGCTGTGGAGTTCAATCATTCAGAAGGTTGGGGAACTCAATCTGGGCCTTGCAGCCCGAGGTCAGTCAGCATCATAGGGTTCAGCCATCAGCTAACTGAGACCAGGGGTCTAGCATCCTCGCTCTGAGCCATTGAATGGTAAATACACTATATTGACATTTTGTTCACTGCAGACATGTTCTGGACTGCTTCTTGACTTCAATTTAATTCAAATGATTTAAGGGTGATAGACTAGAGACTACCACAGGTGGTCAATGTCCAAGTTGCGCTTGATCTTAATGTGTTGCTGATTGTATCAGTTGGGGTAAAGCATTGACGTTGATTTGATGAGCTGTTTTCTCTGATGTTATCAAGATGAGAATGTCTGGGGTCGTTAGAGACACAGAAGCCTAGGGCGCAACTATATCAGGAAGATTTGGGTGATAACCCAGAGATTAAAACAAGGACAGTCAGACAACAAAAATTAAAATGAGAAAACACTTAAGCAAGACAAAAGGACAGACTTCCAGTTTACCAATGGCAAACAGTAGGACAAATGAGGATGAAAAGGCCGATAGTGGACCACCAGGAGACTCAAAGCACAGAAAGTAACAAAACAGATCAATCAGGCTCTAGAAAAATTCAAAACAGAAATAATTTCCCAGATAACCACAGAGATAGTGAGCAAAATGGAAGTTGCGATTCAAGACTCTAGAGCAGAAACTGACAAAAAAATAGATGAGCTCAGGACCATGATAGAAGCCATGAAGGCCCAGCATAAGAAAGAAATGGAAAAACTAAACGCCCAACATAGGAAAGAAATGGAATCCATAAAACAGATTCAAACAGATATCCAGGAGATTAAACACTCTATTGAAAGTGTACACAACAGAATAAAAGAATGCGAAGATAGACTCTCAGATACAGAAGATAAAATTGCAGTCAGTGACCATGAAAAGAGAGGTCTCTTAAAAACAGTAGGAGATCATGAGAAATCGATCCAACAACTCCTAGATGATGCAAAGAAGAATAACATTAGACTGATAGGAATACATGAAGTAGCAGGAGAAAATACAAAGGACTTTAAAAAGCTGTTCGCAGAATTAATGACAAAAAACTTCCCAAACAGAGGGAAAGAATTTGACATTCAGATAACTGAGGCATATAGGACCCCAACTACCCACAAACCAAAAAAAATCTATACTTAGACATATAATAATCAAGATCCCAGAAACCCAACAGAAGAACAAAATACTACAAACAATAAGAGAAAAGAAACAAATCACATGCAAAGGAAAGCCCATCAGAATCACAGCAGACTTTTCAACACAAACCCTTGGGGCAAGGAGAGCCTGGAGTGAGATATCTGAAGTCCTAAAAGAGAACAACCTCCAACCTAGACTGATGTATCCTGCAAAACTCTCTCTCAAAATGGATGGGGAAATAAGACACTTCCATGACAAAGAACACCTGAGAAACTCCATGAATACCATACCAGCACTACAAGCAATTCTAAACAAGATCCTAGAAAAAGACAATGAAGGCAACAACACCATGAGGCCCAACAGAGCAAATCAAATAGGCAAGGCAAGAAACTGAAAGGAGAAGGTGAAAAAGTAAAAAGAGTCAACAAAAGGACAATAACATGTCAATAATAAGTCAGTACATATCACTTATAACCAGCAATGTCAATGGCCTCAACTCACCAATCAAGAGAAACAGACT